CGCCATCCTCTTCCTCCTCCTCCTCTTTCTCCTTCCCCATCGCCATATTCTTCATCCTCCTACACCTCCTTCCCCATCGCGATCTTTTTCCTCCTCCTCTTCCTCCTTCCCCATCGCGATATTTTTCCTCCTCCTCTTCCCCCTTCCCCATCGCCATTTTCTTCCTCCTCCTACACGTCCTTCATTATCGCGATCTTTTAACTCCTCCTCTCCTCCTCCACCTCCTCCTCTTCCTCCTTCCCCATTGCCATATTCTTCCTCCTCCTACACCTCCTTCCCCATCGCGATCTTTTTCCTCCTCCTCTTCCTCSTTCCCCATCGCGATCTTTTTCCTCCTTCTCTTCCTCCTTCCCCATCGCGATCTTTTTCCTCCTCCTTTTCCTCCTTCCCCATCGCGATCTTTTTCCTCCTTCTCTCCTCCTCCACCTCCTCCTCTTCGTCCTTCCCCATCGCCATCTTCTCCCTCCTCCTACACCTCCTTCCCTATCGCCATCTTTTAACTCCTCCTCTCCTCCTCCTCCTCCTCCAATTCCTCCTTCCCCATCGCCATATTCTTCCTCCTCCTACACCACCGTCACCATCGCGACTTTTTTTCTCCTCCTCTTCCTCCTCCCCCATCGCGATGTTTTTCCTTTTTCTTTCTTCCTCCTCTTCCTCCTCTTCCTCCTTCCCCATCATCATCTTCTCTCTCGTTCTACACCTCCTTCCCTATCGCGATCTTTTAACTCCTCCTCTCCTTCTCCTCATGCTCCTCTTCCTCCTTCCCTATGGCGATCTTTTTCCTCCTCCTCTTCCTCCTTCCCCGTCGCGATCTTTTTCCTCCACCTCTTCCTCCTTCCCCATTGCCTTGTTCTTCCTCGTCCTCTTCCTCCTTCCCCATCGCCATCTACTTCCTCCTCCTACACCTCCTTCCCTATCGTGATCGTTTTCCTCCTCCATTCCTCCTCCTTCCCCATCGCCATCTTCCTCCTCCTCCTACACCTCCTTCCCCATCGCGATTTTTCCCCTCCTCCTCTCCTCCTCCTCCTCCTCCTCTTCGTCCTTCCCCATCGCCATCTTCTTCCTCCTCCTCTTCCTCCTTCCCCATCGCCATCTTCTTCCTCCTCCTACACCTCCTTCCCTATCGCGATCTTTNTTCCCCATCGCCATCTTCTTCCTCCTCCTCTTCCTCCTTCCCCATCGCCATCTTCTTCCTCCTCCTACACCTCCTTCCCTATCGCGATCTTTTTCTTCCTCCTCTCGGCCTCCTTTCCCATCGCCATCTTCTTCCTCCTTCTACACCTCCTTCCCCATCGCGATCTTTTCCCTTCTCCTCTCCTCTTCCTCATCCTCGTCTTCCTCCCTCCCCATCGCCATCTTCTTCCTCCTCTTAGACCTCCTTCCCCATCGCGATCTTCTTCCTCCTTCTCTTCCTCCTTGCCCATCGCGATCTTTTTCCTCCTCCTCTTCCTCCTACCTCATCGCGATCTTTTTCCTCCTCCTCTTTCTCCTTCCCCATCACCATGTTCTTCCTCCTCCTCTTCCTCCTTCCCCATTGCCATCTTCTTCCTCCTCCTACACCTCCTTTTCTATCGCGATCTTTTGACTCCTCCTCTCCTCCTCCTCCTCCTCCTTTTCCTCCCTCCCCATCGCCATATTCGTCCTCCTTCTACACCTCCTTCCCCATCGCGATCTTTTTCCTCCTCCTCTTCCTCCTTCCCCATCGCGATCTTTTTCCTCCACGTCTTCCTCCTTCCTCATCGCGATCTTTTTCCTCCTCCTCTTCCTCCTTCCCCATCGCCATGTTCTTCCTCCTCCTCTTACTCCTTCCTCATCGCGATCTTCTTCCTCCTCCTACACCTCCTTCCTTATCACGATCTTTTAACTCCTCCTCTCCCCCTCCTCCTCCTCCTCTTCCTGCTTCCCCATCGCCATATTCTTCCTCGTCCTATACCTCCTTCCCCATCGCGATCTTTTTCTTCCTCCTCTTCCTCCTTCCCCATCGTGATCTTTTTCCTCCTCCTCTTCCTCCTTTCCCATCGCGATCTTTTTCCTCCTCTTCTCCTCCTCCTCCTCCTCTCCTCCTCCTCCTCCTCCTCCTCTTCCTCCTTCCCCATTGCCATCCTCCTCCTTCTCCTCCTCTTCCTCCTTCCCCATTGCCATCCTCCTCCTCCTCCTCCTCTTCCTCCTTCCCCATCACATTATTATTCCTCCTCCTACTACTCCTTCCCTATCGCGATTTTTTTCCTCCTCCTCTATCTCCTTCCCTATCGCGATCTTTTTCCTCCTCCTCTTCCTCCTTCCCCATCGCGATCGTTTTGCTCCTCCTCTCCTCCTCCTCGTCCTCCTCTTCCTCCTTCCCCATCACCATCCTTCTCCTCCTCCTCCTCTTCCGCCTTCCCCATCGCCATCTTCTTCCTCCTTCTACACCTCCTTCCCTATCACGATCTTTTAACTTCTCCTCTCCTTCTCCTCCTCCTTCTGTTCCTTCTTTCCCATCGCCATATTCTCCCTCCTCCTACACCTCCTTCCCCATCGCGACCTTTTTCTCCTCCTCTTCCTCCTTCCCCATCGCGATCTTTTTCCTCCTCCTCTTCCTCCTTCCCCATCGAGATTTTTTCCTCCTTCTCTTCCTCCATCCCCGTCGAGATTTTTTTCCTCCTCCTCTCCTCCTCCTCCTCCTCCTCTTCCTCCTTCCACATCGCCATCTTCAACCTCCTCCTACACCTCCTTCCTTATCGCGATCTTTTAACTCCTCCTCTCCTCCTCCTCCTCCTCTTCCTCCTTCCCCATCGCCATATTCTTCCTTCTCCTACACCTCCTTCCCCATCGCGATCTTTTTTCTCCTCCTCTTCCTCCTTCTACATCGCGATCTTTTCCCTCCTCCTCTCCTCCTCCTCCTCCTCCTCCTTCCCCATCGTCATCTTCTCCCTCCTCCTACACCTCCTTCCCTATCGCGATCTTTTAACTCCTCTCCTCCTCCTCCTCCTCTTCCTCCTTCCCCATCCCGATCTTTTTCCTCCGGCTCTTCCTCCTTCCCCATCGCGATTTTTTTCATCCTCCTCTTCCTCCTTCCCCGTCGCGATCTTTTTCCTCCTCCTCTTCCTCCTTCCCTATCGCCATATTCTTCCTCCTCCTCTTCCTCCTTCCCCATCGCCATCTTCTTCCTACTCCTCCACCTCCTTCCCTATCACGATCTTTTTCCTCCTCCTCTCCTCCTTCTTCCCCATCGCCATCTTCTTCCTCCTCCTACACCTCCTTCCCCATCTCGATCTTTTCCCTCCTCCTCTCCTCCTCCTCCTCCTCCTCTTCCTCCTTCCCCATCGCCATCTTCCTCCTCCTCCTACACATCCTT